GCTACCAGACCCTATGCCCCAGAACACAAAGTTCTAAACACTAAAATCCGGAAGCCCTGAAGCCCCCGAAATCTCAATCCCTGAAGCAAAAAAGCCCTGAAACCCTGACATAAGTCCTAGACCCTAAACCGATAAACCCAGAAACCTTGAACCCTCAACCGACAAACCCTAAACCCTAAACCCTAAACATGTCTGGGCCTGGGCCTGCGTGAGTCCTTGGTTGAGGCAGAAGATGCCTGGAAGCAACTGCGGGTTCTGGGCTTAGGGAATTATGAGGGTTTAGGGTTCAGGGTTTAGGATTTAGGGTTTAGGATTTAGGGTTTAGGGTTTAGAGTTTAGGGCTTAGGGTTGAGAGAAGTTAAGGGATAGTATAAGGGCTACTAACTATAATCAGGGGCTGTGTAAGGGTTGCTGGTTCTGTGTTTGGGTTAGGGCTTTAATTATATGGATACAGACACGTGGGGTTTCAGAAGTTTAGGCTTTTAGGGTGTCTGTGGGCAACTTTTCGGGTGTCATCCTAACTCGGACTTCTGGTTCCCTGCGCCTGGCGCCTTGAAGTTGACTTTGGTATTTACCCATAGGCCCCATAGTAGTTCCTTTTTGGGATTACCTTACCCAGAGGGTCCACATATACTACCATTATGGAATTAGGTCCCAAAAGACCATCCTTATTATGGTTTTGGGAACCTAATTCCATAATGGCAGTACATGTGGACCCTCTGGGTTATAGGATTCCAAGTATGAACCCCAAAAAAGGAACTACTATGGGGCCTATGGGTAGGCTTTAGGCTTGAGGCTCAGAGTCTCAGAGTTTAGGGTTTAGGGTTTAGGGTTTAGGATTTAGGGTTTAGGGTTTAGGGTGCGTTCAGGATGGCCGGGCCGCTGAAAATGCCGGGGGCCTTTCCGAGGATTGGAATTTACGTGTCGATGCGTGTGCAGTCTACCTATAGTCTCCATTGTAGTTCCTTTTTTTGGTTTAACCAAATATATAATAACGGGTTTATAAGGTATCCCCAAAAAGGAAGTACAATGGAGACTATAGGTAGGAGCAAGAGCTCCTACGGTACTTCAATTTCTTGTCTCGACGTACACGCGAGCCCGAAACTCTTGAAGAAAGCCCGTAGAAGCCCTTGAGGTAAAACCTGAAGTGGCGCACACGCAGCTCCCGTGCAAGGCTGGTCGAAACATCCCTTGTCCCGTTTCGGACTTCTGCTTAGGAAAAGGCGACCAAAACACGCGCGCATTTAGTACAAGGGCACGTATAACCACCGTGCTTGGAGAAAACCTGGGTAGGGCTTTCAAAACCTAAACCCTAAGCCCTAATTCCTGCACACTAACCCGGAACCAGGTGTTGCTGGCTTTGGAAGCACAGAAATTGGCACTTCCGTCTTCGGGCAGAATCTGGGCTCTTGGAACCTAGGCTGCCTTGAGTTTTGGTTTAGGCTTTAGCATTACAAGATCCGATTATGCCGGGTTCCACTTTGGTGTCCCCTACATACTGGGAAATCCAGATGGCAGCCTGAACAGGTAGAGGGCTGTCCACACGGACATATCTACGGCATGAATCAGTCCGAACCCTGCCTTCGAATTCTGCTAGGCTTTCTTGACATCCGACTACAGCCAGTATGCAGAACCGTGCTAAATGACAGAATAGAACAAAAGGCTTCCAGATCCCTAAATGCCCCCAAACCATACATTACATGCACTGTCGCAATCAACTCGAAAGCCTGTACACCCTAAAATCATCCTGAAGCGTGCGAGCCTAAGACCCCAAAAGCTCAAACTAAAACCCCAGATCCTAAGCCCTGAAGCCGAAACCTTAAACCCTAAAGACCGCCGAGACCATAAACCCTGACGCCTAATTCCCTACTCGGCCTGTGACCGTTCGGCTCACCAGGTAGGGCCTTCAAAGCACCACAGATGAGGGTTTCGACTCAGAAAGATTCAGGGATTCAACTCCAAGGCTCGCACAAGGCAGGCAAGGCGTTACGACAAGTTCAGGAGCAGGGAGAAAAGAACAACACCCATACTTGGAGGTTCATGGGTGGTTATAAGTGGAGTTATAAGTCCCCTAATATAGGTTATAATTATAGTTACCCTACTTATAACCCTCCTTATAACTACCCATGAACCTCCAAGTACGAAACGTGCCCCACGTTCCGCACACTTAGCACAAGCACGTAATTGCACAGACAGAACCTTGACCTATCTTGACCACCAAAAGCCCGGAAAGGACAATCATGCAAATATGACAAAGCTAACACCAGGAGTTTAGGGCCGCAAAGCCGAGGCGGCACAAAAACCCTCAATGATTCAAGCAGGAGAGTGGGATATTAGGAATTGCCCACACTGGGTATAAGAACGAGGCAGGGCCATGCTTGTCAAGGACGAAAATGAAGCATGCAGAGTGCAGACGGCTGCTTAGACTGACCTTAAACCCATTCCAACCCTAAGCCGTAACAGAGAACACCCGTTTCGGCATGGGCTTGGATTGTATTCCCGCACCCCTACAATCCTAAACCCTAAACAGGCCCTAAACCCTAAACCCTAAATCCTAAATCCTAAACCCCTAGACCCTAATTCCTAAATCCTAAACCCCAAAAGCCTAAATCCTAAACCCCAAACCCTAATCCTTCTCCCCCCCACCCCTTGGGCTGCACACATCGCTGCAGGCCCACGGAGAACCCCAAAGGGACTGATGGGCCCATCCACCTCTCGACCATTTAGGGTTTAGGGTTTGGGGTTTAGGATTTCGGGTTTAGGATTTAGGATTTTGGGTTTAGGGTTTCGGGCTTAGGGTTTAGGGTGTCGTAAGCAGGTTACAGACTGAGTGTAATGTAGGGGCCTTATAATACTTAGCATAGGGTTTTGGGGCCCATTATACTGAATTAAGAAAAGGAACCCTAAGGAACAATATGGGTAATTATTTAGGCTCCTATATTAACTATACCGTACTATGCCATTGGGACTGACAGTTGAGGATGCGGTTTCCGCAGAGGTCTAGAGCTAAGTGAGATGCGCAGCGCTGGGAGTCATGATGGTACTTGGTAAGCAGATCGGGGTGTAAAAAAATGGGCGGCGAAGTCTTGTGCCTTGCAATGTAGTAGACACCTGGCTGCGAAACAGCTTCCATAAAAAGGACATTCTAATCCGGGTAGTGCACTGGGAGGAGAATACATCGGGAATATGTGGGGTTTGGGGTGCAGAAGATTTCGAAACATTGCAGTCCGCTCGTGCGAGAAATCCTCGGGGCGGGGAGATGCAGGTTTGAGGATTTAAAGACATTCACACACTTGTTAGTTGTCGAATTTGGGGTCGAGGTCGGTATGCGATTCTGGTGGACATGATGGCCCCTGATAGGATAGCATTGTGACATGATTACTGGCATCCCCATAAGCATCCCCATAAAACAGCCCCAGAGGACACACTCACCAGCTTTGATACACTTCAACAGAAGCCAGCCGTCCAAATCCTCGAACCAGCTCCTGAACTGAACCTTGTCAACTAAGACAGGGGCCTTAATAATTGGAATGGGGTTTTGCGGCCCATTATACTATACTTATAATAAGCACCCCCCAAAAAAATAGTATAGGTAACTATTCAGGCCCCTACATTAACATGCGCAATACGGGATTTGGGTTTAGGGTATGATGCTCATGGCTATCTGGCATACATAATTAACACTAACACTGATGAGATGGGCACAGGTTGATCTGCTCTTCTTGTTCGTCATCCCCAGAGACTCCAATATCCCTTAATTAATGAATATACCTTAAATTGTAGTAGGATCCCTAATATGATTTCAGGTATATTCCTTAATTAAGGGGTATTGGAGTCTCTGGGCCCTATTCTTATGGCATAGCCTCGAACTCAAGCAGCGAGCGGCCCCGGCAGAACCCTTTGTAGCAGCTCTTATAGCAAGCAGATATAGTCTAGCCCTAATATTCAACCCGTGAGGGTTCGTATTTCTTTGGAGTGGCCTTATAGAAAGCTAAAACAGAACCCTAGATTCCCTAGATAGCAGAATCATTAGTCTTATTATTGTTTGGGACTCCTGCGTGTGGGGTGCACTGAAGCCTTAAAGCCACAGAAGAGCGTGGACAGCAAGAAGGTGCTGCCGAAGGATCCCGTCACCTGGCACCGACGGTTTGAGGAGTTCCGGGTTGGAGCTTTTGGGTTTGTAGGGCTTAGGGCGTAGGGTTTTTTGCCTCCTGCATGGCTGAGCGGTGTAGGGTTCAGGGTTTGGGGTTTAGAGCTTTGGGGCTTCGGAGTTTTAGAGCTATGGGGTTTACCGTTTTTGGGGCTTTGGTTTTACCGGCTCCTTTCTTTGTCTTGCTGACCGTGTCATGCCGCAGGGACAGAAACAGTGTGCAGGCGAATCCCAGAGGCAGCACTTGTGTTTTGGAGGAGGGCGCCGGGGAAAAGGGGCGGGGGTTAATTAGGGCGTAACCAGGGTTCAGAGCTTTCTTAGGCTTCAAGGTTTTGGGCTTGGCGCTGCCGGGTTTGCGGGGTGACTTACGCCGGCCCAGGGTCCCGGCCTGAGTTCCTTTACAATACCTTCCTACTCTTGGGCCGTATACCGCTGTCTTCGTTTCTGGAACACCCCTATTATCCGCCAGTTGAGTCCGAAGCTCACGCGATGTCCCTGTCATACAGCTGCGACTCATGGAGCGTGGTCCGGATGACCGTCCCATATTTAGTCCTCAATCTACGTATATGCTTCAGAGTCTTACATGGCCTCTGTTTCCTGGGCCCAAGCTTTTTCTGGGAGAGTGCCGGAACTTTAGGCTGTGGATGTCCTGAACCTTTCGCCCGACGATGGGTCCGATTAAGAAGTGAAGCCCATTCCGAACTCTACACCGTACATGTAATTACCGCTTTGGGAACCATGTTTCTTGTTCAGCCACCGCAACTTATATGCTAAAAGGCAGTGCTCCATTCGAGGGTCTATTTAAACTCCAAAACCGCACCACTCTGCTTTCAAAACTACGTCGGCCGACCCGGATCAGCGCTGTTCGCTCGGCGGAGCCGACGGGAACGCAGGGCCTGCGAGGAGAAGCTGGAAGTTTTCAGAGACCCGAAATATGAGTCTTCAGCGATCCAGATTTGGAAACGGCCAATCAACAAATGAAGCAAGGGTCATCTTACAGAGCCGTAAAGCGATGCACGTCTCTCATGGGCTAGTTCTGGATCCTGGCTACAGCTGCTACTTTAGTATGATACTTTAAGCACTCCGAAGGTTGCGCGAATGTGCAACCCGTCGCCTCACGATGTACACCCCGTGCACGAGGGCCACTAGAACGACCTTGCCGCGAAGCGGTGCACAGCCCACCCGACTTCTGACCCGGCATTCACAGTGTGGCAAGTTTCGACTACGAGGGCAAAGGATTAACAGAATATGTAATGGCCATGAGCACACTGCACCATGGCTTGAGCACACATTGAAGCGACGAGCACAATCCGATCTGCTGAATAGCAAGGTGTAAAAGTCACCTAGTTGGTGAGCCCGACAGACTCGCAGCTCGCACCCATCGGAATCGGGAAACTAAAGTGACATCAGTGCACCACCCTGGGAAGAAGGGTCGTTGCGCAGTGCCGAAGCAGATAGGAATGCAGAGCCAGTGGATTCCTGGAATCTCACGCCTCCCAAGCGCCCAAGCAAACATGCACAGCCGACCATAGCCATCGTAGTGGAGAGGAAGTCCAAGAATTGAGCTACGAAGAGCAGCATTCCCAAACCTCATCAAGCAGCTTGCTTTCGGCTCTCCATGGCTCAAGTATCATTCGCAGGGGCACTACTGCTGTCGGGTCCTGGGAACTTGCGAAGTCTGGGCTGGCTGCGCCTGTAGACTCTAAGGTTCAGGGAACAATCGTGCAAGAAGAAACAGAAGGAGAGCAAATTCAGCAAAACGCGAAATGGCCAGGGGCTAAGTCCGAAAAAGCCGAAATCCCAAACACTAAGACACATAATGTAGAAGCCTAAATAAGTACCGATTACTATACAATACTATAGTTATAAAGGCTCCTACATTACTGCGAATACCGACCAGGACAATTCGATGATGCTCGCATTTCCCCACGTCGGTCCTAAAGACAGAGCCGAACACTCTTTCTCATGGTATCATGCTGGTTATTGCACGCGTAAGTGTAAACCCATCCTTGCTGTGGCTGCTGCTTCTATCTGGTTCTGCCTCACATACGGGAACTTCTGGAACGTCCTTTGCTGGTCATCGAGTTTGCGGGTTAGGGGTGTTGTCCTCTCGGCAGCTGCCCGCCCTTATAGGGAACTGGACCTCAGAAATCTTGGGAGCCCGGCCCATTCCATTGCGAGAATACACCAGCAAGTGCACTGTGAAGAGCCAGACCTTTTCCGGTGCTAGGGCTTTCCGGTGCTGGGGAAGAGCCGGAAATCCCATCGTGGGCAATTTGGTTCGGCTCCGGGGGTTTGAGCGGCCGGAAAGCTTACGCAAGGAGAGTCTTTTTCAGAAGGGCGTCTGGCGACGTGTTCTGCCACACTCGTCCACGTAGCAGGTGTCATGATCGTCTGCCTACTTCCAACCCTACTGCATGTCATCCTCGATGTTTGAAGTAGAAACCTACCTACATGATTAAATGCGGAGACTGTCAAACCGAGGAGTACTGAACTTCTCAAAGGGCCAGGAAACCAACATCCTAACCCGAAGCCATCAGACCCTAAATTGGTCCTAAATGGGATAATGAGGGAAAAACCCTAAACCCTAAACGGCCCTAAACCGAACGCCCACACCCGGCAAGGCTTCAGAAGATTATTCCAAAGAGGGGCTCTTGACCGAGAATCGACAAGAATTCTATGCACTACTGATGGGGGTTTCCGAAAATAGGGCGCCCGAATATAGTACCCCAAATAGTAGGATCCTTATTACAAGAACTCCCAAATAAGGTACCCCTTATTTTCGGAAACTCCCTGATGTCTTCAAAAGATCTGTCATGTTCAAGAACAGCCCCTGACGTGATCCTGCAGCACCATGCCTTCAAAAAGGACAGCCCTAGACACACTTACCAAGCTCACAAACCCAAACCTCAATTAAACCATCCTAAACCCTAAACCCTAAACCCCACTTCGACATCCGAAGAGCGGTAGAAGAGCCTGAGTCGGAGCCCTCGGATCTAACGGCGCGGCGCGCACTCCGAAGAATGCGGTGGCGGTGAAGAACAGCGCGCTCAGATCATTGTGAGCCTGGACGCAGCTTGGGGCTTTCACTTCGCACAGGGCTTATGGGGTTTAGGGGTTTGGAGGTTTAGAGATCTTGGGTTGAGAGTTAAGATCTTATAGAGTTTCCACACAGGATAGAGTTTAGGGATTTGGGGTTTTGGGGTCTTGGGCTTAGAGTTAAGGGTCCGAGGACATCGTTAGGGGAGGTCCCTGGGTCGCAATCGGGTAAGCAGGTGCAAGCTGCACGGCCTATCTAGGATTTACAGGATTTTGAGCCTGTATTATAAGAAACGCTCATGTCTTTGGCTTTGGCTCCTCCGGAAACAGGTTCTGAAGTGTAGCAGATGCTGTAAGGCTGTCAGGGTCGCGAAGCTGCAGCCGGAAGCATTGGAAGCAACGTCTTTGATTCCAAACCTATCAGTCAGAATGTCCTTTCCGGAGTCTCACCGCCACCATCTGGCCAAGTTGCACGCCCTAAACATCCGACCACGATAGGCTCTGTTCTGCAGACCGGTAGCCTACGCCCTCAACCCCAAAGCCTCAACCTATGCTGTACTATACTCTACTATTTATACTATACTATACTACACAATACTATGCTATGCTTTACGACACTATGCTGGAATATACTATAATCCTTTCGCTCTGCCTGCCGCCGCTGCAAAGTCCTCAGCGCTGAGAACACGCTGGGGCCCATGAGCACCGTCAGGAGCGAAAGCCTGAGACTTCTTACTTGCAGGGCATGAGTAGCTTCCGGGACTATACATGTGTATACACATATGTATGTATGCACATGTGTATGTGTACATAGATATATATATATATACATGTTTCAATGGGTGAATGAATGAATGAATGAATGAATGAATGAATGAAGGAATGATGTATGTATGCATGTATGTATGTATGCATGTATGCATGTACGTATGCATGTATGTGCTGGCGGCGACTTAACTTACGCTCCGGCTTACCCGGCGTTTGCACTCACACTCGGGCGAACCCCTTGTATGGCGATAGCTTGTATAGGGTTCTATTCTCCCCGACCTGATGCAACTGCCAGCCGTCAGGGGCGAGTCGCTCCCGCAAGCCAGAAACAACTTGTGCCCTGATTGGCACGCCCCAAGAACCACCTGCGAAACGGCCTACATGCGCAGTCCGGTTCGAATGCCCCGCAACCCTCTACCCCGAACTGCAAGCCGAGACGCCAACCCGAAACCCGCAACCCCTCATCTCAGAACCATAACCTCTCCTTTGCAACTCCTGGCCCCCATCTTCTTCATCATGGAGTGGTACCCAGAGAACCGCAAACCCCTTAACTAAGGAATATGCCTTAAGTTATAATTAGAGGCCTTAATATTATGAAAAGAGTAAAGGGTGTATTCCTTCAGATTCTGATAAACCCATCTCGCACTCCCCGGCCGCAGTGCCCATCGGAGCTGAGGCGGCCACCACATGTAGCTTTGCAGAATACCCTCCGGGATCGCAGATGTTACGGATTTAGGGTTACGGGTTTAGGGTTTAGGGTGAAGCGCAGAGTTACCGGTTTAGGATGCAAGGTTTGGGGGTTAAGGTTCAGCCTTGGGTATAAGATAGGGTGTCGGCTCTCGCGCTCACACGAGCCGAGCAATTCAGGATTAAGTGATGGTTGGGCCTGACGAAACTAACCCTAAACCCGAACCTGAACCCTAAACCCTAAACCCCGTGCAATAAGCGAAGCAAGCACGATAACTTCGGCGATTCGAGCTAACGGTTTCGAACCTTCCCTGGCCTTTCCTGTGTCGGCATGAGTATAGTAATTTGGGGTTTTGGGGTGTATGTATAAATAAGTCCACCACGGGCAGAAAGACTCCTGTACCCAGTAGGATTCGGGCATCAACCACGAAATCCTGATGAAGACTCTACTAAACCTCGTAGGATGCAGAGGCGCTAACATAATCATCATGACCTGCGAATTCCTACCGCATCCCGACTGCAAACCCATACCCATACCTCAAGAAACTTCCCAGGTCCGAGCTTACTATTGCTGCCTCAATAATGCAGGGGCCTTAATAATTAGAATTGGGTTTTGTTGTATATTCTACTATAATTATAATAAGGAACCCCCAAAATAGTATAGGTAATTATTAAGGCCCCTATATTAATTAGATTAGGGCTTACGCTCTCACAACTCGGACAAGCCAGGCGAGGTTGAACATGTGCAAGCCGGCGTGAAACTACGTCAACCAATGTTTAAAGTGTAGGGTTTTGGGTTGGAGAAAACCTATATCACCAATGCTCGTCAAAGTTATATGGAACCCTGAAGAATAATCTTGGTAACTTTGTGGGCTTCTATACGAAACGATCATGGGTCATGCCCCCCGGGGCCTATGCCCCCAAAATTCTTCTATAAGTCTATGGGACCTTAAACACGCAACCCTTAAACCCTACCTAGATACTCGACCCGAAAGAACCAAGCTTTTTATGGACGTATACAAGGAAATCATAGTAAGGAGGCCTTTAAATGTAGGTTCCTTAGGGTCCAAGTACACCCTATAGCTAAAGCCGCCTAAACCCCTAAACGCTAAACCCCAAACCCCTAAGCCTGCAACGCCCTAAAATTCTTCATCATGACTCGGCACGGCCTTTTACTTTGTGTCTCCAGGTTCCCGTTTCGGTGTCTTCAAGGTTTCGGGCTTCAGGTTTCAAGGTTTAGGGTTTAGGGTGTTGATAGGGTTGCGGTTTGAAGGGCAACTGTCGTACTTAAACCGACACTTTTGACTAATCTGAACCTCCAAGTATTCGCCGCCTGCTCTGCACAGGCAAACTGCTGGTCAAACGACGTTGCCGGATTCGTAAACTCGACAATGTACCTGGAGCATCTGGGAACTGTCCCATGTATTCTAATTCTGTATATCTATTGAGGAGTCTTACACAACAAACCTTCTACTTGCTAATGTCTCTACTACAGTCTTAAAGTGCCCCGAACTACAACTCAGTAGCCCTTGTGCCCGAAGTGGCTGCCAGCTCTCCAAAATGGGGACCTCAAAGACTAGGATGGGGCCTGGGGATCCATTATATGATAGGTTGTTTCCCTCCTACGTTTTAAATAGGGTTTAGGGTTTAGGGTACCCAACCCCGAATATTTTCATGCAGACATTCACTCTTTTGGATGTGCCCCGGCAAAAGCTATACGTTCTTGCGAGAACAGATCCTTACTCACAACCCGACTTGATGCATGGCACTCTCATGTGTGGGGTGTGGGATTCGGCTGCGTCTTTTTCTGCGTGCGATCTCCTTGTCCAAGCACCTCCGTGCTTATGTCGTCGAGGTGCCCAGACAGAAAGTTGAACATGGCTTTTGAAACAGTCCTGGCAGGAATTCTGCGAACCTTGCTAATGGCCTGACATTAACTCCTAACCCCAAGCTCTCGACACACTAACCTTAGAAGCGAACCTTGCACTCCTAGCCGTGAGACTCTTCCAAGCACGTGTTCGAGGTCCTAAGATGTCCTACCTCCTGCCGCTCTGAGTTGCCCAAGCGAAGGTCATGTAATCATCGTACCTGCGTTTGAGGTTGCTCCACAAACCTACACAAGCCATAAAAACCCACAACCCACTACAAATGCATCCCATGGCGGAACATAACCCTACATGTGTATATATATATATATACACACATCTGTATATACACTTACAAGTACCACCGAACCTTCGAGTAGGCCTCCTTCCGAGCTCTCCGCGAGGCAACTCAGGTTTCAGCTTGAAAGCCTCAGCGAAGCCTCTGCGATCCGCCTCGGGCCAACAGGTCAACAAGAAGAAGCAGTAGTAGTGGTCGTGGTAGTGGTCGTGGTCGTGGTAGTAGTAGTAGTAGTAGTAGTAGTAGTAGTAGTTGTTGTTGTGGTAGTGAGAGTTTCAGAGAGGTAGGGGTAGTGGTAATAAGAGTGGTAGTGGCAGTGGTAGATGTAGTAGTAGTAGTAGTAGTAGTAGTAGTTGTTGTTGTAGATTGCCAAACGCCAAAAAACCCTGAATTCAAGGTCCGCCAGTCTCTACCCCTCGAACCTCCAAGAACAACAAGACACCCAAACCGAGCCCCTAACCAAAACCATCGCTGCACACTTTTTCCCCACGCAGTTCCGGTAGATCGGAGCTCGCGGCCATGGCAAGGTGAACACCACAGTTCTTTGAAGCATATCCTCCAGATACCCGTTATCAGTAGCCCTAAACAACAAACCTGACCATGTCTCACTAACCTTTCTTCGCCACATCCAGGGGACAAGTGCATGTTACTACCTCGTGTACCCAAGATACTGGCCTTCCAACAAGCCAAACCCAATGCCTCCACTCCTAAACCTTTCGTTTCAGACTTTTGTGAAAGCGGCAGTCGTCTGCGCGAGCATCTGCTGCTGACTCTGCCATCACGACCTAAGTTCTGACACCTGAGACCCAAAGCACAACAGCGGCAATCTGAGGTCTCTGAGGGTACATTCTCCACTTAAGGTGCGTACACTATGCATTAGAAACACAAGATGCGATAACTGTCTCGGTTTACACTCATGGCCTGCCCAAACCCGCTACCCCTCCAACCCTAGGCCCCACCCCAAACCCTGAACGCTAAACCTCAAAACATAATCCCCAAGCGTCGTAATCCTCAACGCGGTGCCCAAGGCCTTCACTCCGCCTTCACTCAGCACCCCGATACTACAGAACAAAAACTATAATGTTGTATTTATACAAAGTGTGTATACAAGTATAGTCTAGTAGACAAGCTCCTATTCTAATCACGAAAGCCCAACCATCTTGAAGCTTATAGAACCCTAAACCCTAAACCCCTAGTCCCTAAACCCTAAACCCTAATGACCGGAGCCCTTTCAGAGGATCTCTACTCTGATCCTAGAGGCCTCTACAGATGATCAGCACAAGGAGCTTCGGGGCTCCCGGAGAAAGGCACAAGGTAATGTAGAGACTCGTACTACAGTTTAGGGCTTATTTTTGCCTCCTAGGTTTAGGGCTTATAGGGTTTAGGTTTAGGCTTGGTTTAGGGAATCGTACCAACATGTAGGGCTTACCATAGGTTGGCAAAGTTTAGAAGTTAGGGAGCAGTGCTGTTGGGTCTAGAGTTCGCGGACTAGGGATGAGAGGTGAGGTAGGATCTGCAGCACCTCACAGTCTGCCCTCTCTTCAGCTCAGAACTGCAGCGCAGGGCGTCAGAAATGCTCTAGTTCAGGGGCGGAAGATATTAGAACGCATGATCCACTTTGCAACCTGGGGAGAGTCAAGCATCTCACAGACGGAATGATGCACGGCTAGGTGGCTCAGGGAGAGTATGAGCGAACCCCTCCGTCAGGGAGCTCAAACTGTGGAGATACTGATCCCGGTACGGTTCAGGTCTAGGATGTAAGAAAAGCCACCGGTGTGATCGTGAAGGTTCTTTCTTCCTCTCTTCGGGATTCCGGGCTTCGTGCTCTAGACTTTAAGGTTCGCGTGCTCAGACAGACCCCTAGCCCCTAAACCCTGTGCAATCCGTGGAATGCTCCTACTGAATCCCAAGTTGCAGCCGGTCGAAAACGCGATTCATGAAGCTAAGCTGCACTTAACCTACCCCCATGCAGCTACCGCCGGACCTGGCCCATACATAATCCGATGGCCTTACATGCCAGCATCAGTCCCCTATTGGATCCTATGAGCCCACAAAAGCCTTAGAGGATCACAGGGCTGAATCAGTATGAATGCTAGTACCGCAGCTACAGCGATGATGCCATTTTCTAACCTTAAAAATCACAGGATGATGCCTACTTCTAACCTCAAAAATCACTCATGACCCTGCTCACATGCACCGGTGAACCTCCCAACTCCCAACCCCGCGGCAAATCCCCAAACCCTGGTCCTGTTACATAACCCCTAAAGCAAACTACAGGTTCCTATGTAACCTATGAACCTGTTTTTGGGGTTTAGGGTTTCGAATTTTAAAAGAAGTTTAGGGGTTTAGGGTTTAGAATCTGGGAGTTTAGGGGTTTAGGTGTTTAGGGTTTAGATTTTAGAATTTAGGAGTTTGGGGGTTTCGGCGCTCACACTCGGACAATCCAGGCGAGGCATATGGTTCGAGTCTGCAACGTGGGGGTTTAGGGTTTAGGAGTTTGGGGGTGTAGGGTTTAGGTCTTACAGTTCTTCCGGATGTTGGGCTCCGCTCCTTCTCTCCGAGCCTGGAAGAGAGCTAGACCCTGCTCCTACTGTACTACTACTGTACTACCACTGTATTACTGTATTACTACTGTACTACGGTTTGGGGTTTAGGGTTTAGGGTGGTTCGGGGTTGGAGATTTAGGCTTTGGGGTTTAGGGATTTAGGGCTTTAGGGTGTCAGCACTGGCAACTATGAACTGCCGGGTTTCGCGTGCTTTCTGGTGCTTTGCCCTTCAGGGCGCGGCTTCAGGGTGCATGGAGTGTTGGCCTGAGGATGTCAGCTGTAGGGTGGGGTCGCAGCAGCTCCTGGATTTCAGGAAACCAATACCCTGGCCGCTGATTTTGCGAAGTAGGAGCAGGCATGCATAGGCTGAGGAGAGTGAGAACCCTATGTCTGAAAGTGCCTGGACTCGGCTGCGTCCTAACCTGCTGCCATATATCGTACTCGACTGAGGTCCCGATTCTCCAGCAATCTTTTCCAGAGGGTTCTAGAGTCCTCTACAGAAGTCTCTTTGCATTGCTGCAAATCTGATTCAAAAGGTTCCAAAAATCTATAAACTTCTGCAGCGCACTGAGTACAGAGGGGCTCAGGGAGTTTGCTTTAAGTTCTCCGGCATGGAACTGCCTGTCTTCTAAGTTAAGCTTCTTGCTGCTCCCGGGCTTCTGGACGGGGTTCAGTTTTTACATATCGTGTGCTTCTTTTCCTGTAAGGACGTGTCGAGTCCAGAAGGTTGCCTGCCCATGTGCACCCCCTTCCCGAGTTCACCATGTCGGGCTGAAAGCCGCGTGTACATGGCTTGCCGGTGCCATGCCAATCCACCCTAAAGTGCCCTACAGTCTCATGATGTGATCGCAGGTATTTTTGAACACCAGATTATCATGGGTTGATACAGACTTTACAGAACCCACTCCCCTATGCGTGCCTCACATGCTCTCCATCATGCGACATGCTCAACCGGGTGCTGGCATTGGCACGTGGGCACCCCGTGGCACAAGAGTGCGTTTTCGGGAGTTGCACACAACGGCTCCATTTCTTCATTGGGCAGAGGGCGCTGCAGCTTCACGACGCTACGCGAGAGGCGGGGGAAGCACCCAAGGCACCTTTGTCGTGGTTTCGGCAGAGAGGGGAGATTCGATGCTCCCTTGGCTGAAACTTTACGGTTTCTGGGTGCAGAGGCATCATGTAGGAATGTTGAGCCCCAGTTATAGGCCCGGACATGTGACGAGGAGCCTTGCGGAGGGTCAGACAAGGAAGCTCCTCATGATGCGGCTGATGGACAATAGTTAGGGCTTATAAGTTCAGGGTTTGGGAATATCCATTACCGCCTTAAGGAATTATGGCTCATGGTATGCTCCTTACTATGGGTAAAGCAGGATTTTGCCCATGAGCAGTGTTTAACTACTCGTAGGACTTGAGGCTTAGGAGTCTTGTGCATTTAAGTTTAAGCAGATCCCAACTTGACTCGCAGCGTCGTGTAGTCTAGTCGATGCCTGTAGGTCGGAGTACTTACTACGTGCTAGACTAACTGTTGTGGTGATGGTAACAATAAGCAGTTACACAGTCTGTTGCATCAAAAGCTGATAACCTAGCAACCAAGAATAGACCTTCAACCGATGCCTACCACGGCTATTATTGCCCATAAAACCTAAACCCTTTTGCAACCCTCAACCTCACACTTTGTTGGAACCTGTGTGGCGGCGAATCTGCAACTGAGGCCCTGGCTGGACAAGCCGCCAAAAAAGCCATGTTGGTCGAAGATATCCGAGTTGGCTTTCCTGTAGATGCTGAGTTCAGGGTTTAGGAATTTAGGGTTTAGGGTTTAGGAGTTTAGAGTTTAGGGTTCTCAGGGCCAAGCTTCTTGGAGATGAAAGGGCTGAACAAAAAGGTGAGAACTCGAATTACTGTAAACCCTAAACCGTGAATTGAAAGCTACCCCGATGTACGCAAATTCCCTGAAAACGTGTATGCTTAGCGGCTGTTTACACGAAGCCCATTTTTGGCACTCCTACTTTAAGGGTCTAAGGGTTTAATATAGAGACCTTAATAATTACAATAGGGTTTTGGGGCCCGTTTTACTATAATCAAAATAAGGAACCCCCCACATAGTATGCCAGATATTGGCCATGCGCACTTCTACAAAGGGGTATGGGAGCCGTCACTGATGTCGTATCTACCTAATAGAAACCTACCCGCGTAATTTCTAAGTTCCCTTGAGCCTGTAACAGCGTCTCACCTTGCTTACTACATCCCCTTTTATCATTTGGAGTTAACTATACTGAACTTAGACCCCTAGCAAAAATTATAATTTTAGCTGTTTTTTAGGGTTTATAGTAGCCAAAGATGAAAAAATATTTCTAAGTACCCCTAAGTTAACTCAATTCCCAGGGGTCATGAAGGACCAGAGCGCGATGAAGGACAGCTGGGCACTGAAGGCGCATGTCTGAAGTAGGCTGACCTCAGCAAGGGTTTAGTCTACATTACACCATAGGGTGTTACATTGTCTGATATTGTCTGATATGATATTATATCATCTTGCATTATATATTATGGTAACGTATGCTATACTGTCAGGATTGAGCTTAGGGGCCTGCGAAATCAGAAGAGGGTTCCTGTAAAGGGCTCCTGGTTGGGTTTTCTGCTGGTCTATTGGGTTTTAAAAACGCTTTAGTATATGGGCTTTATATTTCGAAAAGGGCCGGGTGCTTTAGGCAAAAATCATGGGAGAACTTTCCGACCGGTATATTCGCTAAATACACCTCTGGAAGGCTACGTATGGTTGGGAATCCAAAGCCCAGGAGAGGATGACACCGCATTGCCACGTAAAGCATGCTGAACATCGGGTCAGTGAACACCTGCCCAGCTGGCGGTAGGCGCTCACACATCCCACGATTGAAAAGTCCAACGCCCTTGCCTGGGAATTCTAGCTCCTAGGCCCTAGGCCCCTCACCAGCAAAGCCCCAAACCTGAACCCCATGCAACCCCTGACCCCTAAACCCTTAAACCAGCCCGACAAAGCCACAAGGCTTCATTGCATGTCGCAGGCACGTGATCCCCGAAGGCGGCCATGCTCACGATTACGATCATGGCATCCTCCGCCGTATTTAGTGCACTTCGTGGATTTCTAACGTAGGCATCTGATTTAAGAAGCCTCTGTTCCTTGTTGGGGTTCTTTAAACACGACCCCTTATTTACGGAGATCGGGCTCTGCAGGAAACTCTGTCAGGTAGGAAGGGAGGCACTATCGCACACGAGCTGTGTCTTGCAAGCCCTTAGGTCGAAGTTCGTGGGCTCCTGTTGCCTGGCTCAAATCTCGAAGTAGCTGCAATAGCCGGATCTTCTGGACGAGCCAAGCATGTTTCTGAACGGCACTGGAGCTGCAGAATCCCCTTCCATCACTGAAAACCCTGACCCCCGACACCTAAGGCCCCCAAGCCCTACAACCTTAATATAGGGGCCTTAATAATTAGAATAGGGTTTTGGGGCCCATTCTACTATAACTATCATAAGGAACCCACAAAAAATAGTACTGGTAATTCTGAATTCTTTGGGCCCCTACCCCTAAACCCTAAACCCTAAACCTGCATTAGGCTGTCCTTCACGAGGTTCGTCAGCAAGAAAGCCAAAGGAGATCCGTGCTTCCTTGAAGACCAATGTGTCACTGAAACCACAGGGTCAGGGTTTACATGAAGCCTATACATGCCTGCCTTTTTGATAAGGCTCCTTACTAGATTTCCTTGTGATTAAATAAGTCCTGAAACAAATGTTTTTTTGGTTTAGGGCTTTAGGGTTTAGGGCCCAAGTCGCCGCTTACGGAGTAAACGTTGACCCACACTAGGACAATCCAGGCACGGTCTCACACAGGCGAGGAAAACTTTGACAGCTGTCATGTGCTTTTCGCGATAAGCCAACAGCAACTGACAGAACATAGTGATTACTCCAATGAAAGCAGCCGAGTCAATGACATTCAATGACAATGGGCATCAGACCAAAAGAACCCCCCTAAGCCCTGAACCCTAACCGACAGCATCAGATACACCAAGGCCATGGTTGCTCCACAGACACGACCCGTGAATTGACGGACAGCTCAATATGTGCGGCGGAGTTCCAACACGGCAACTGATGTATGCATTTAGCGAATATACCGGCCGGATGCCTGCAAACGCGTATTCCAACACAAGAACAAACACCAACTTGCTGCAAGGTCACAGGTAGTTTGCGATGACCAGGTTCAGCACGAACGCGCACAAGATGTTGCCTATTTCTGTCGTACATGGGGGAGCTTGTGACTGAAGCGTAAATCCTAAATCCAAGGCTCCACAGCTCTAAACCAATTAACCTTGTTGCCCCTGCTACCAGAAATCGATCAGTCGGGTTCAACCATGCATCGAGGTGCAGAGCTAGGGGAAGCACTCACAAAAGCAAGCCACGCTCTACACTCTAAAGCCCCGAAGCCGCTACCAAAACATCCCAACCTGCAGCCCGACCCCCAAAACCACAAAAATCCTATCGCCTTACGCCCTGAAACGCCCCTCCATCCATCTAAACTCTCAACCTTGTGCCTGCCAGAAGGAAGCCGCAGGCTTGGAGAGTAACAAAGGAGGGAAGTGCAATCCACGAGAGGACCTGGGCCTTGGATGAAGGGCACGGGGTTTAGGGTTTAGGGTT